ATATATATATATATATATATATATATATATATATATATATATATATATATATATAAATTCAGTTAAAGAAATAGTATTTTGTAACCCTGAGTTTCACGCTTTTGCGATCATCAGACAAACTGGTTTATTTTCAAAAGTATTTTTCGTATTTATGATTATTTGGGTTTGATTATTTGTGTGTGGTAGAGGGGGAATTTTCTTTTATGTATGCATTTTACTTCGTACAAACACAGCCATACAAATAATCTGAGGTTAGGCGCAGTTACACATTCATGCGTTCGGGGTTACAAACTACTGTCTATGCAACTGAATATGTTAGCTCTATCACAGATATTGAGCCCTTTTCACTAAGGACCGCACGCACACACACACACACATACATACCCCCCCATATATATATATATATATATATATATATATATAGAGAGAGAGAGAGAGAGAGAGAGAGTTTTAAAACAAGGAAAATGTTTGTCTCTCAGGTGTAAATCGTTGGCAATAAATTAACGAAAATGAAAAGCAAAAAAGGGGGAATAGGAATAAGATAGATAGATAGATAGATAGATAGATAGATAGATAGATAGATAGATAGATAGATAGATTTTAAGAAAAACAGGCCACTTTAAGGCACCATTGTAATAGTTTATTTCACCAGAGATCTTTTAAATGACGCTGGATCATCAGACATCACTTGTAAAAGGTGAAACGAAAACTTTTTCGTTTCACCTGTTGAAAGTGATGTCTGAGGAACCAGGGTACTTTAAAAAGTCTCTGGTGAAATAAACTATTACAATGGTGCCTTAAATTGGTCTGTTTTTCCTTAAATTATTAGCTCTGAACTTACATTGAGCTCCCAGGATTTCATCCTCCTTGAGACGACCCATACGGATTACTGAGGTTTTCGTAACTTAACATATATATATATATATATATATATATATATATATATATATATATATATATATATATTTACGTATGTATGTATTGAGGGATGAGAAAATCTCGTGTAAATACATGGACAATTAAAATAAAATCTCTCCCAAAAAATTAAGAAACTTGACAAAATCCTTCTGTCGGCAGAGAGAAGGTTTTGCAGTGATATAGGACTGATTCCAAAATCTTTAAATGATCATTGGAAAAAGCTCTATGAATAACTCTAAACCACTATCTCTTATAAGACTTGGCACATGCTATATTTTCCAATAAATGTTGCGCAATAGCAGATTCCATATTCGAAGAGGGAAGGTAACACAAGTTACTTATTTTACCAAGTCTTATTTTCAATGGCACATGCTTATTGATCCTTGTTTCCAAACCTAAGGTGGTAAGCCACATATAACCAGTAGCACACTGACAACTAAATTCGTAAACCAAATTATTCAGTTTGATGTAACTATCCTTACGAAACGACGGAAACGCAGATCAAGTACGAGAAGCAGAACAACAGACGGAAAACAATTAGAAACCGTTTTATTGATTTGCTTAATTAACCTTTGACTCCTCCCCAATCCAATTTGACTTACCCCCAATCCAAGGAACCTTGAAATATACTAGACACTTAGAAGGCCCCAGGATGTTAAGAGAATAAAATTCACTTGTTTTCTTATTAATAATATAATTAATAACGTCTTCTGGATAGCCATTGCACAAGAAAATCTCCATGATATTCTCCAATTCAGAGTCCAGTCTCGTAGGCAAAAAGATTTTGAGCGCTCTGTGTATCAAGGTTTCAATAAGGCTAATTATCCTTGATGTAGGTGCAAATGCACACCAATTCATATACAGGCCAGTAAAGGTGGTTTTACGATAGATACTTGTAAGGAAACAACGCCCAAAAAAAGGTAAGCAATTATCTTTCTCAACTTCCATAGCGAAGGATAAAGCTCTGGGTAAAGAGTTAAGCTTACTGAAAAAGTTTACGGCCTCACTTTCAGTGGAAAAAAAGTAACAAAAGTGTCATCAACATATCTAAAATAAATAAAAGTTTCAGACATTTTGCCAAAAAACAACGACTCGTAGTGACGCACAAAAATATTAGCCAACGCAGGGCCAAGGGAACTACCCATTTGGACACTATCAACCTGGCTGTACATGATATTTTCGAAGCTAAATTACATAGAACTAGTACAATATACCGTGAGCTCAACAAATACATCCCTATGAAAATAAGGTGGTGTAAGGTCACCCTCATATAACGAGTCGGCGCAAATATCACTAGTTTCCTTTAATGGTACATTGGAAAAAAACTGGAAACATCAAATGACCACATAAAATCCGTATCAGGGCAGAATTGTATGACATGTAGACACTCAACAAATGAGAACGAAAAATTGAAGGTCGTGTGCTATTTTAGAAAACTAATTTAATAAAGACTTTATCGTGCTGAATTTAATAACATTATCGTAATTAACCTATTACTGTATAAATTATCCTGAAAGTTTGTTCATATTTTGCCTAATGTACGTTGCTAGCTTATAGTAATCTTAGGGCTGCCGGATTGTAA